ATTCAAATATATAAAAAATGTGGTAATCATGATTCCCCATTATGTGGCCTTGAAGCCTTATAAAGTTTTCACTTATTAATTGGAATGGCTTTATTCTGGGCTTCTTGATATGGAAATATTTGAAGCTATAGCATATGAAGTTTTATTCAAATATTTCAAGGAAAAAGACCGACATATATGGTAACTACTATTAGGTTGGGTTATTTGGTGGTGAAGCACTAGGTTGCTGAAATAGTCATGCTTTGACCTGTATTGTTATATTGTTATATCCTCTTTTATCTCAATCTGTCCCTTATTCATTAAAAAAATTATTTAGTAATTTTTTATGTTTTTTTTATTAAGGGGAAAAATTAAAAAAAATAGCAGGATATATAATAGTAACTTTTTTTTGACTTCCTATTAACTTGTTTTGAAGTCTTGTAATACTCCCACTATCTTGTTTTGACTGATTAGACTCTCTCCCATTCTGAATGATAGTATCAAGTTTGAGGTTATAGGCAAATACTTTGAAGACAATAAGATTCACTAAGATGCCCATTCTGGTTTGACTATTGTCTCCTTTGGAAGTCCTTTAATGTTTACAATGCTCAAGTTTTATTGGTCTTGTTCTCTACTGTTTTGTTCAACTTTATAATACCTAATGAGATAGACAATTCTTTTTAAGGAAACAAGAGACATTATGGTAACCATTGTTGATAACCTTGTACTCTGTTTTACATCATGTGCTATGTCTATCCTTGGTTTTGACTGACAGCTTTGTTTTGCCATATTTGACTTTATTCTCCCCCCCCAAAAAAGTAATAAGAACTAAGGAGTAATAAAACCCAAAATGTGTAAATTTTGTTGTAAAAAAGAGAAGGAAAAAAAGTGCTCTAAAGGATACAACAGCAAGTGTGTTTAGGGGTGTTAAATAGGTGAGCATATTAATGTTTTTGGTTGGATCATTGAACACAACTGTTTGCAGTCTCACTGTTTGAATGTCCACTTTGTATGCTTTGATACTGTGACTTGAGCAACTATCTCTAAGATGATAATATGTAATCTATTAACTGGTGATTTCTTACTGTTTTTTTTTTTTGTAGTTCTGTATTACTAGTACCCTTACACCACTTTGTTTTGTTTCGTTTTTTCTTTTTCCTTTTAAATAAAATTTTAAAAAAGAAAGCAGAAGAGCATCCCCTGCATCCCCATATGCAACTGTCTGATTCCGAGGACTCAGTGTGAGATGCTAGCCACTCAGGTGAAAGGAGTAGCTTGAAGCTTGTATTGTTTGATTGATTTTTTAGGCCTGGGGCTGGTGGTCCTGGCACCTATTTGGAGGATGACAGTGTGCACTGTAGCAACTGTGGGGGATTTCCTTCTGTCTTGTTTTTGAAATCCAATGTTTTGTTCCGTTTTACTGTTTTGTTTTATTACAATATCTGGCAACCTGAAAAACTATTTTGAAGATAAAAATATAGAGTACAACAACCATTGTTGAATTCCTATTATCTTGCCCTGAAAATTATATAGCTATTGTTTTTTGCCATTGTCATTTTTCTTTTGTTGTTTTTTTAGGTTTTCTTGCTTCTTGATTTTTCTGTTTTTTTTCTTTTTTCCCTTTAAAATAAAATTTTAAAAACCCACCAACTACAAAATACAGTACAAGCTCTTGCAAGTATGCAGTAGAGTTTATACTTTTTAACCGAATCTGGGCGCGATGGTGCATACTTGTAACCCCAGTACTCGGGAGACTGAGCCAGGAGGATTGCTGCAAGTTTGAGGCCAACCTTCACTACATAGTGAGTTCAAGGACAGACTAAACTATACAGAGAGACCCTGTCTTAAAAAAAAGAAAAAAAATAATTGATAAAACCTAATTTATGTCTAGCAAAGTGAAATGAATGAGCTCATCAGTTATATAATTGTACAATTAATGCCACAGAAGTAAAATCAAATACTTAATTTTTGTTTATTTTAGTACTAAGTACTAAACTCAGGGTTTTTTCACTGAACTACACCATCAGCCCTACTTATCTTTTATTTAGTGATAAAGTCTCTCTAAGTTACTAAGTTGCCAGAGCTGGACTTGTGATTCTCCTGCTTCAGTTTTCTGATCCTGGGATTACAAGTATTTGTCATTTCACCAGGATTTGTGTGTGTGTGTGTGTGTGTGTGTGTGTGTGTGTGTGTATCTCGTATTGGGTACTGAATACAGAACTTTGTACAATACAGCCTAATACTCAACCACTGAAATACAACTCAGCCCTCAAAAACTAAAAATTTTTGAGTGACTTAGCAAAATGTGTCTTCCTTCTTAACGTGTAGAGCTCATTGCTGGAGGGGCCAATTTCCTCAGGATACTCAGAGGTTTTCTGGAGGTTAAGAGATTAGCTACTCTCAACCCCATATTTCTAAATTCAGAGTTAGAAACATGTATCAGGATCAGTTAGGGAGTTTCATTCAAGACCCAGTGCTCAGGGAAGACACCAAGACCTCAAATACAAAATTACCTTAAAGAAAGACTTAAGTGGTATTCCTAGCTCAACTCAGAGCCTTGTTTGTGTGTGAGGGAAGGCTTCAAGAATATATATATATATATATATATATATATATATATATATATATCAGATATATATATCTGATTATGGGACTTTGCTATACTGTCACAAATGGTGTTTTACAGAATGACACCATATTTGTATGTAAAGTAAGTTATCTATAATCTTAGGCATATGTATACAGTAAGTGTAAAACAAGCAGGGATCCTGGACTAGCTAGAATATCATGGCCTAGTCACCCAACTTCTATTGCACTGTGTATCAATCAGTCCTCACCATCAATCCCACATAGTAGCAAGAAGCACTAAAAACAGTACAGTAGTTTTCTATCTAGCTTTGTAATCAAAATGAGTCCTTTTTTTGGAAATGTGGCCTCTGGTCTTAGAAAAGTAGGATAAGAAGAGCCCCTCCCCAATATACTACTACTACAGATACTATTGGAATATTGAGAGAAACAGGGTGACGAATTCTCATGATTCTAATAGGTCTTACTTATCACATATTAGTAAATCACACCGCATCTCCTCAGACCCCTCCACTGACAATCTGTGTCTTGCACTTTATGCTCTGGCAATTTCAACTTCCTAGAGAGTCTCCACCCATGTCCTCTGAAGACCATAAATTGTGCTGTTTATTGTTTGAGCACTTTTGCCCAGACTATCTCCTGAACCTGGAGTATCCATCTATTTCCTCTATTTCTCCTATCTATAACCCTAATTCTTGACTCAGGTGATTCTTCCTCCAAGATACTTTTCCTGACCATATCAGGCCGGGCTACTCGTATGCTGCCATAGCTTATTTAATACCTCACTCTTTAATCAGTTTATTTGCTTGTCTCTATCACCGAGCCCACAGCCCCTGAAAAACACAGACCATGTCTCATACTTTATTCATTCTTGTCTTCACAGCACCTGGTGCATCTTCTTGGCACATCAGAGGTATTCAGTAAGTAGTTGCAGAATGACTGAACCTGATCTTTGTGACTCTGAGAACAAAATCTCATTTTTCTGACCTTCAGAATGTCTAGAAGTCTAATTTTTATTAAATATATGATTAACTGTCTCATTGTCTTCCTGTCAGATGCTCTAAATTGCTAGCTATATGTACTTCATAGCATTGTGCCAGGAAATTTACATAGGAAAATATGATAAAGATTAAGATTCAGACCCTGCACTCAAGCAGCTCTTAGAAAAAACTTTCTCCAGCTTTTACAATTTCCAGAGACTACGACTCTTTCTGAAACAGTCCTGGATTGACTCTTCTACGCACCACATCCCTATCTTCCACTCACCTTACTTGGGTAAGGATATATTTCTGTTGATTTAAGTTTTGTCTTATATACACTCTAAATTTATTTGAGGTCAGAAAATTCTGTCTATTTTATATTTGTCCTTTATTTTGTATTCAAAGCTATTCTTGTACATTGCTATCAACTTGCTGATTGACAAGTTATAATAATTTAAAGGTTGGCCTAAAACCACAACAGAAGTATACTATTTAAAAAAGAAAGCACAAGAGAAATGGGATATTGTAAGAATACAATAAAAAACAAACAATGGCATGCCACTGCCAATAAAATAATTTCTCTTTGCTGTTATTTAAAATACCACAGCATATACAGTGTGGGGTATGTCATATTAAGACTAGTCTACATTTAAGGAAACATATAAGGTTGATAGTTGAGGTAATTTCTTGACAACTGAGGATCCAACCACATCTTTCTGCAAAAGACACCATGGAAGTCCCATTCCCTAAGGCTTGTTGCGCATAATTCCTTCTGCTTGGGTAGAATCTCTATACTCTTGAGTCCTTGCATCTAAATGACTTCATTTCACTAGTAGAGAGCCAGCTTACTTATGTTTTAGCCAGACTTGTAATCAGGTCTTTATGCTGTTTTCATTTATATTTCAAGCTATCAAATTGGCTTTTGAATGTGGAATTTTTGCACTCAGCCTTTATTTGCTATTATTTGTTCTACTTCTGAATGCCAAAAAACAAATGGTAATTTGGTTAGCTGCCAACAGACCATATTTGTATTGTAATTAAGAATGATTTTGTGTGTCGTTCCAGCTTACTGAGCTAGGAGATGGTCACTGATCAGAAAGGGTCAAGACCTCTACTTTCTGTAATTTCAACATTACAGAGTCATCCCATTGAGTTTTAAAGATTACCAAAATGTACGCATTATCTACTCTATCAGGTATTAGACATACAAATAAAAAGAGCCTAACATTTATGAAGTACTTCCTATGTGCTGAGTAGTACTAGGTACATTCATAACTGTTGTCTCAATTCAATCCTCATGTTAACCTCAGTTAATCAAGTACCAGCATTGTCCCTACTTCACAGAAATTGAGGCTGAAGTTCAAAGATATTCAATAAAATATTTATGCAGTAGACGTTAGATCTAGTTTGGGGGCCAATCCTAGAAAAATCTAGATTCCATGTCCTTTTTCTTCTACTATGTTGCTTGCCTTAACAGTTAAAAACAAGGCTTCTTGTTCTCTGCCTGTCTCTATGATCTGTGTCCAAAGAGGGTAGGTCTATTGACAATTTCACTTACTCTACTATTTTTCCTTGGCATGCCTTGCCCTCAGTTTTTATCCTCTATCTTCACTGAAATGTGTTGTCAACAAATTCAACATGCCTGTCCTGACCTCTCTTTTCCACCCTCCCCATCACAGTGACTTACTAGAATGTCTGAAGTCTACATGTTGGATGACTCAGTGCATCACACAGCATCTGCACTCCAAAATCCTTGAGGTCATTTCCACTTAAGTCTAACAAGATTAGGTTTTCATTTCTGTAGAGGATAGAGGAAAGGGCTCCGCAACACGCATCTGTGAGGTGACATTCTGCTAACCTGCAAGAGATCAAATATTTGAGAAAGAAATCGATCTTATTCCAAGTTCCCTAATGGCTTTCCCTTTCATATACAAACTGGAACAAAAGCTCACTATAAAATCTCCATACACTTACCACAAAGTATGCAGTTTGCAGTAGGGGTGTTTTAGCCCTTCACACAGCATCTTCACACCCTCATCCCCTAGGGCATTGTCACTGAGGTCAAGGTCTCTCAGGTGTTCATTGGTGTAGAGTGCATTGCACAAATCCTGACAGCATGCCCCAGTCAGGTGACAGGTCCACAACCTGCCAGTAAGTAAAGTCTGACATCATTTAATCTATTTTGAGTAACTAGAAATTATGTTTTCCCATTAGCAAATGCACTAGGAAATCTGAGTGTTGTGTAAAAAAAAAAATCCCTTGAGTCAAGACTAAGCAGAAGTTGTGGAGAATGAATGATTTATTTCCTCTAAATTATTTGGTTCTTTATTTACTGCTTCCCTGGAGATTCACTCACCAAGCCAAAAAATATATATTTAATTTTGGAAGTTGCTGAAACATCAAGAAACTCTTCTTGTGGCTACAGTGCTTGATACTCACGCCAGATCCTTTAACTGACAGTCAGGCTGTTTCAATCCTTCACACAGTAATCTCAGTCCCAAATCTTCAATTTTGTTATTAATTAGAAGCAGTTTTGTCAGGGCCTGGGAGGAGATCAGAATTTGGGCAAGGGACTCACAACAAGTTGCAGAGAGAGAACATTCAGAAAGCCTGGAGGGACAGAGACACCAGGGTAGCTGTTAACTATAGCAGCAGAAAGTCCCAGTGACCCTTAAATTTCAAGGCCCATGAGAAGGACAAGGACAAGCAGATACTTACACTAGGTTTTCAATTGTGCACTTTGCATGCAGCAGACCTTCGCAGAGATGCTGTATTCCTATGTCCCCCAGGACATTGGCAAACACAAACAACTCTTTTAAAGTCTGCCTCATTTTCAGGAAAGAAGAAAGCTCCACACAACTAGCATCTGTGAGGTAACACTGACTCAAGCTACACACACAAAAAAAAAAAAAAAAGAAAGAAAAAGAAAAATCAGCCCCTGCCATCGTTTGTCTTTTTGGGAGTATTCTGCCACCCCACTGTAATTCCTCCTTTGAGTTCCTGCTCCAGATAACCTCTTTCACAGAACCCCTTGCTGAGGTCTCCAGGCCCTACCTGATATTTCTAAATGATCTACAGTATTCAGTATATATTGGTGTTATTAAGGGCAGTCCTGTCAAAGAACTTCTGGTAACTCCACCAATCCTTTCTTTTTGTAATTAATATTAAGTAATGTCACTCTTATAAACACAAAGCTGGAGTATACTGGAAAGAATATGAGGTTTGGAGACAGATTTTGAAGTCACATCATGACTCTACCATGGTGTAACTTTGAAGGAGCCACTTTTTAGCTGATCCTGTTTCTTAATCTGTACAAAAGAGATAAGAAAAGTAATCTTATATGACTACTATAAGGAGTGAATGAAGTGAGATAACTTATGGCAAGCACCAAGTACACAGCAGGCACTCAACAAGTTCAAAAGTCATTAGATGATGTGAGATATTATTTTTAAAAAACTTACTCTAATTTCTCCACATTACAGTTGGAATGTCTGAGACCCTTACAAAGATAGTTCACTCCTTTGTCCCCCAGAGGATTTTTACTCAAGTCCAACTCTGTGAGGTGTGGGTTACAAACAAGAACAGAGGCAAGATACTTGCAAATAGCCTCTGAGTTTTCCAAGAGAATGCTACCACGCAACCTGCAAGAAAGATGTACAGAGACAGAAGTGGCCACTTTAGCATACTACACAGAATATCTCATGAATAAAGAAAACAAAGAGCCATAGAACAAGACTCTCAGTCTTAAGTCTGTCATAGCATCCTATCCACCCCATCCTCCTTCATGGAGAGCACTTATGAAATGCTTCCAAAATGCACTCCACAGTAGGGACACAATAAATTTTGACTTTCTGAGAAAAGAAAATGGTTGGGAGGAAATATTGATAATCTAATCTCATTTTTAAATTCTTGTGTAAATTTAGCACACTATATCTCCTTTCAAGTTCCTGGGGAAACATTCTATAATCATCCTTAATACGCTTTACAGTCAAAAGTTCTTTTTTCCTCTCTTATCTAAATGTTTACTAGTAATTTTCCATCCTTAGAGAGACCCAGCCCATCCTCATTACTCACACAATATTCCTGTTTGGGGGAAGGTAAAAAAGTGGTTTTTAGTGGTTTCTCCATCTTCTCAATCTTTATTTCTCCATATTAACTTGTCATATTCCTTGAATCATTTTTCATTTTTCTTCCATCAGTTTCAACAATTTCTAGGCATATATTACAATTTTTGAATCCTCATTTGTTTTCTTGATGGACTATATTCCAATCTTACTCTTGAAGAGGACTCATACAGGATATATTTCTATCTGCCCAATTTGGAAATGTTAAGTGAAGGTACTTTGCACAGAATGAGTTCTCAAAATGGATTTTAGAAACATTTAATGATCTGGAGTTTTTGCTTGTAAAATTTCCACATATGTATTGTGATGGCTACTTTTATGCATCAACTTGGTTAAACCATGGTATCCATAAATTTGAGCAAATATTACTCTAGATACTTTTTTGAAGGTACTTTTAAAGATGTTAGCATTTTAATCAGCAAACTGAATAAAGTAATGTGTATATGCCTTGTCTAATCAGTTGAAGGTTTAGTGGAAAAACCTCTTCCTCAAAAGAGGAAATTCAGCAGCTTTTGGTCTTGAGATGCAACATGGGCTCTTCCCTGCATCTCCAGCCTGCCAACCTACCCTGCAGATTCTGGATTTGCCAACATCCATAATAACATGAGCCAATCCCTTTCAACCTCTTAATCGTCCTCTCTCAATCTCTTCTTTTCCTTTGTCTCCCTCCTCTCTCTTCTATCTCCCTTTCCTTCTGCCTCTCTTTTCCATTTCCTCTCTGTATTTCTCTCTCATTTTCTCTGTCCCCCACTCTGTCTCTGTCTCTGTCTCTGTCTCTCTCTCTGCAAGAGAACTCTAAATAATGCATATGTAATAACGACTATTTGATTAAGGTGAGTGGCATGGACTTCAAGGTTTGGAATTTGTGCCTTTGCCGTATTTTTTAGTCTAATGATATTGGGCTTTCATTTCTTCCAATGCTAAAATATGGATCATAATCTGGACCTTCCAGAGATACTTTGCAGACTAAAGGAAATAATACACATGAAGCACGCAACACAATCTTTAGTACAAAGTAATTGTTCAATAAGTGTGAGTCATAATTGTCATTGATAATACTGTCGCTTGCCACTTTTTTAAATTAGTGTTAGTATATAGTTCAGGCTGGCCTTGAATTCACTATGTAGCCCAGGCTGGCCTCAAACTCACAACAGTTCTCCTGCCTCAGCCTCCCGAGTTCAGGAATTACAGTCGTGCACCACCACACCCTGCCCAATACTAATACTTTTATTCTTCTTTATATTCTTTTGGATGAGTTCTTGACCTGTGTTTTGATCACAGGATATCCATCTTGAAGTAAGTGGTGTAAAAATATTCCTACAGAATGGAAACTAACAGTTACAACTTACTTGAGCTTCTGTAGTTTGCAGCGTGGGTCTTTTAAACCTTCACAGAGCAATTTCAAAGCTGAAGCTTCCAGTTTTGTTTCACTAAATTCCAACTCAGTGAGCCGCTCATTAGTGCTAAGAACAGCAGCTAGTGCCCGACAAGAAGCAGATGAGATAAGGCATCGGTATAACCTTTAGAAAACAGAATTACTTCATTATCTTATTCATGCCCCCCAGAAGTAGAAACTCACTGAAAAATGGTATGATTGCGAACAAGAAATTACTCTATCAGTTACCTCAATGCCTGTAGAATACAGTTTGGTTGTTTCAATCCCTCACACAGATGCTTCACTCCTGAGTCTTCCAGGGTACTTCTCACAAATTCCAAATCTGTCAGATAGTGGTTGGTTTCAAATACTGAAGAGAGATCCCTACCACAAGAAGCTGTGAGATGGCAAAAAATCAGTCTGTATAAAGAAAAAAACATTTAGGAAAGGAAATAAAATACAGTTTTCTTTAAAGGTATTGATTTGTACCTTACTAATGTAACAAATCCTTTTAATTCATTCAAAGACTAATTTATTGGATGCTTACTACTGTACCAGGTGCTCAAAATAGAGAGCGTATTTAAGATACACTTATTCCCTCAAAGAATGCACAGGTAACAGGGGAAAAACATTCTAGAAAATTATAGATTATAATGCAGTGTGAAAAATACTACAAGAAGTATGTACAAATATTTAGGAACACAAAGATTTTACAAATCAGTTCAACTTAAAGTGGGTTTGGAAGTCAAGAAATAGCTAGCTGTAAGGGGAAGAAATGCTTGAGTGTCTATGGAAATTAAATACAAGGTGGATGAGAACAGGAGTAGAGAGAGTAGAAAGATCTAAGAGAAATCCATGCATGAAGCAACCTGTGTATAGGCAAGGAAGCAAAAGTATAGATGGCTCGTTTGAGATACTGAAAACTATTTGCTATGGCCTATTTTAAAAGACTGGGAAGATCTATATATCAAACAATTCTGTCCTAGGTAGGGAAGGGTGGGACTATAGGAAGATATGTGCATTCCAGAAATCTAAAAATTATTTACAATGATCATTTGTTATTGGGAAAAGTTTTCTTTTAATTTGGGAAAAACAATACATGCTTATTCCAAAAAAATTACAATAGAGAAAAATAAAAAATAAGGCTTCTCTCCCCCAAAATTCTATATTCCTATCATCCAAAGATGCCCACTATTAAAGTGTTGTTATATAAGGTTCAGATCTTAATGAATGCATACATATAGTTATATTTTCTTTATAACAAATTAAATTGGAAAAGGATGTATTTCTTAAACAATTAAAAAAACTTTTTCCTGACAGATACAGCAGCATACTTGTAATTCCAGCTACTGGAGAAGCTAAATTAGAGGATCTGAAGTTCAAAGTCACACTTGGGAATTTAGCTAGACCTTATCTCAGAAAGGGGGCTCTAGGGTTGTGGCTCAGAGGCAGAGCACTTGCCTGTATTCAACCCCCAGTGCCACAAAAACAAACAAAAAGATCAACAATTTTTACATGTACCAACTCCCTACGATGAATGTAATCATTATACACTGCAAGAATGTAATAATAAAAACAAAATTTTTTTAAAAACAACAAAACAAACAAAAAATCTTTTAGCTAATGTTGCATTAAAACTCCCAGAGATAACTACTGTTTAATGTGGTATGTATCCTTCTTCATTCATTCTCCAAGATTATAGATGCACACATCAATATTTATGTATATGATTAATTTGTGCATTTTACAAAAATCAGATCATAAAAAAATTACTTTTTCAGTTTTATACACACTTTTGTCATTTGGTCCTCATCACAGAAATTCACTTACAGCACAATGTCATACAGTAAGTGGCAAAACAGGATTCAACCTATGATCTGTAGTTCATACTACAAGCCTCATAAACTCATTGAAGGTATTAAGAGTTATAATCAGATTACTCTGGTGACAGGGTAGAAGGAGAGAATGATTCGATATCAGAGAGCTGCAATGAGAGAAGAAATGAGGAGTAAATGAGGGTGGGAAGTGGAAGTGAACAGATTCAAACCATATTTTTGGGAATGAAAATGATGATTTATAATCATTTAGGTTGACCATAGTGTCCAGTCAAGTGGCCAGTGGGAGATAGAACTGTTCCTTGGCTACACCCTCTTCCTTCAGGGGCTACTGGAACTCACTGAAAAGGTTAGAACTACTTCCTGTTCTACAACAGTTTCCAATTCTATCTCTAGGAGGAGGGCCCAGGACATGGAATAAACCATTAAAGTGGGAGTAGAACTTTTGGACTTGCTTACAAAAGCTTCGTTTTCTTGGTTCTGAGTCTTTTCTTACCAGTCTCATTTCTTCCCACCTTCCAGGGCTTTCACCCATGTGGTAGGTTCTTTTGTGTCCCACAAGAGAGAAAGACCTTGCTTTCACACTCCCTCCCACCCCTGTATTCTCTGGAAGTTGCAACAGTCCAAAAGTAAAATTCTAGACAGTTGGCCTCAGCACTTCCTTTCCTTGGTGTCGCAGGAAGAAGAACTACCCTCCTGGCCCTGGTAGGCAGGGGTGGTCAGCCTGTACCTCTTCTGGGCCCTGGCTAAAGAGTTATGGCCACCTTGGGAAGTGTCATACCGTAGGAGAAAGCCTGGCCAGGGAGTCATTCTGAGGATCAAGACTGAGGAGAGGAGGGGTGGGAGGTAACTGAGGGCCACCTCCTGAGAGGAGGGCCTAAGACGAGGGAAGGGACAACAGTTTGATCTATCCCAACAGGGCCAGCAAAACTACTAAGGCCCTTAACCATCATGGCCTTGAAACCTGAGGATCCTTATACCGGGTTCCGGCATAGCTCAGTGGTAGACTTCATTAATGAGAAGATGGCCAGGCATGTGAAAGGCCCTGAGTTCTACCTTGAAAATCTGTCTCTGTCCTGGGAGGAGATAGAAGACAAGATCAAGGCCATCCTAGAAGACAGCGAGGTGCCAAGTGATGCTCAAGAGGCCTGTACCTGGAGCAGCTTGGCCCTGGCTGTGCGATTAGCTCACCTGCAGGGGCACTTACAGGGGCGCAAGGTGCAGTGGCTGCATGACTTTATCAAACTGCACAAGTCAGCCACTCATGCCTTGGAGTTGGATCTGAAGCAGCTCACAGAGGAGCAGGAGGTGGAGCGCAAGGAGGCTGCCTTCCAGCTGCAGTTGGCCCATGCCAAGCTGGCCCAGGCACAGAAAGAGAGAGAGCTGCTGAGATGGAAGCTTGTGCAGGTGGTAAGATAACTCCCACTAGACCCCATTCCAGCCTTACACCTATACCCCCACTGAATCCCCACTCCCAGAACATGTCTCAGCCCTGCCCACTTCTCTTCAGGAGCTGAGGGGTCTTTCAGGGCCAGCTGTGGAGGAGCCAGACCTGGCTGCTGTTGGAGAGGTGGAGATACTAGGAGCAGGTGAGAAGCAAGAGGTGGAAGGAGCTGAAGCTAGTGCTACAGGTGGAGGAAAAGAAGGAGAAGAAGAGATGGATGTGATTAGCACAGCCCCAGAGGAGGATCTAAGTGATAGTGTCCTGCAGTTTCTTGGAGTTGTCCAGCAGAAAAATTACACCTCTGCTACAGAGAGGGAGGGTAATACTAGGCCTATAGAAAAACCTACGCTTTGTCTCTCTGGGACCCCGAAGGCCGCATCCACAGCCTCACCGGATCCCCTACCTGTCCAGCTCCCTGCCTCTTTCACATACAGCTACTCAAGCCCTTTGTCCTGTTTCCCAGCTGCATCCTCCCCACCTCCACTAGCAGCCACGATCACAGCACCTGTTCCACCTGAGGTGTCCTCCCACTACTCAGCCTCTGATTTCAGCTTGTGGTCTGATGTGTGGGCTCAAGGAGTAGACCCTCAAGAACACCAGAAAAAGAAGAGAGACTTGGAACTCCAGCAGCAGAGAAAAAGTCCATTTTTTCGCAAGCCTGGGGATTGGAACTGCCCTTGGTGTAAGGCCATGAATATCTCACGAAGGGAAAATTGCTTCCGCTGCAGGAGGGGAATCTGGTTGCAAAGCCCTTAGTAAAATAAGCAACATGCAATGAAACAAACACCTCAATGAGCAGTCTATTTTCTGATGTGGGCAGCCTGTGTTGAGTGCCAGGGGTGAGGGTGGGAATATGGAGCCAAATAAGTGAGAGAGAGTTGGGTGGGAGTTGGAGAGGATGTACTTGGTGGGACGAGACACGTTTAGATGACGATCTCTTTTGTATTCCATGAAACACTCCAGAACTGCTGCAGCTTTGTGTGTGTGTCTGCACATGCATACATGTGTGTGTGCATGGATGTCTCCCCATCCTAGTGTCTGGTGGACCTAACAGCTACATTTATAAACTCTTCTACCACCCCACTACCATGCCTAGGACTTAGCCGATGAGAGTAGGTGGGCATTAGATCATCCTGAACCACACAGCTTCTCAGGCTTGACAAACTGAACAGAGGCAGATTCCATACTCAGAATGGGGGGCTGAGCAGTGGAGTAGTGGGTTGCTTGGAATTGGGGCTGGGGTCACAGGCACAAACACTGAGACCTAGCTCTGGCTGTTAGGGAACAAGACCAAGTATTTTACCAGGGGTGTTATTTAGGAGATACTAGTATAGCCTAAGGTCCAGGGAACAGAAAGGTATAAAAGAGTACAGAGGAGCAATATAGTAGCTTCAGAGAGCTGTGGAGAGTTGTGGTGACTGCAACTTTCCTATGTGAACATCCACTTTACCCAGACCCCCTTTTCTTTATGTTAATGTGAGTGCATTCCTGCTGTGGGTAACCAGATCATTTCCAAGCTAGAAATTGGAACCGGAAGAGCAATTTCAAACAACAGATCTTCAAAGAAAGGGTTGGAATTGGCTGCAGAGTCACAGGGTTTGGCAAGTAGCATGGATTCCTGCATCCCAAGAGTCCCCAAGGGTGAACTGAATAGGAGGCTCCTGTTCAGAGAGTTATATCAAAAGAAACAAAACAGACTCATGGCTACAGGTCTACGTCAATTTTGTGCTTGACTCAAATTAGCACAAAGAGATTTGCTACCCTTAAGGGAAACCAACAGAGTTGTATACAGAGGATTCCAGCACCAGCTACAGGCCATACAGTCTCATAAGGAGAATCTTCCCAAGTTCCCACTGGGCAGAACCAGAGACAGTCAGACCTCAACAAGGAACTCACACCACTGTCTTGGAGATGAGTCAGCAACTGAAAGTATGCATAAGGTTTGCTAGTCTAGACTGTGGGCCAAAGCACCATGATCAGTATGGAAGGGAGCCACAAAGCTCTTTGTGAATTCAGAAGTCTAAAATAGCACAGAAACATATGACAGTAGAAAATTACTTCAATTGTGGGTGTTGGTGGAAAGTTCATTTGCTTATCCCCCTCTGATAAATATAGCTATACAAGGTGTCCTTGAACTCTTAGGTAGAAGGATGAGGAGCGGTTACACATGAACTAGACTGCAACACAACCAAGGGAGGAGCCTTGGACTTAGAGACAAGGAAGCTTTCATGGCCTTGGAACATCTCTGTGGCAGTAGAGGTGTGACTTTGGATTGTCTCCTGTTGGGGGATGGTATGGATAATCACCATCAGTATTGGGGGCCAGATATCTCTCTAGATTACACTTTTCAGAAATATATTTGGGCTTATTTATCTCTTACCTTGCTTTAGGACAGGATTTCTTTAACCTGAGTACTCTTGACATTTGGAGTTGGATTATTTTTGTTGCTGAGGGCTATGTCTAGACATTGTATGATGTTTATCAAAATTCCTAACCTCTGCACACTAGATGTTGGTGGCACCCTCCCTCCCACACACACACACAGCCCCTCAGTAGTGACAATCAAAAACGTTTCTCCTTACTGCCAGATATTCACCAGGGGGCAAAGCACTCCGATTTGGGAATGATGGAGGCAGTGAAGTACTCGGGAATGGTAAGGAGCTCTGTAAGATAGGAGTTGAAAAATGTCCTTTAGGTCTGGCATTTATTTTGGTCTTCTTCAAGATAGCTCATAAGAGTGACAGGGTAGGAGCCAAACTACAAGACTGAAGAGTATAAAGGAAGTGAGAAAATTGAGTCAGTAAGAGGAAGCTCTTTTCAAGGGCAAAGGCTGGCTATAAAAGGATGAATTCATGTAGAATACATGGTTGAGAGTTTTTCTGGATATAAGAGAAACCAGAGACATGGAGAAGGTGGTAGAAGAAGACAGCTTTACAATACAAGCAACATGAAAGCCAGGTTTGGTGGTGCATGCCTATAATCCCAGCACCCAGGAGACTGAGGCACGAGGATCTCTGTGAGTTCAAGAGCAGCCTGGGCTACATAAAAGAACATAAGTTTATTGACATCAGTGGATTTTAAAAAATCATTTCTTCTTCTGGGATGGGACTAGAGAAAAATAGAAATGATTTATATGGCAAAAGGATAAGAAACCAAGGGGACTCTGGTCTATGTGCTTGTGATGTGGGCCAAGTACTTAGACATGAGTAAGGATGCAAATCAGGACAGGGATGGTGACTTCTCTTAGCATTTTGAGGAGTGATTGTGGAATACATAGTGGGGCATGAAAAAAGAGAAAAAGACCATCAAGATGCATGGATTAGGATATAGCTCAAGTGAAAGAGAACTAAAAGAAATGATGGTAAGAGTCTCTCATAAAGAGGAAGAGGGGCAGATCTAAGGGGGGCCCCAGACACAAATCTCTCAGGCATTAACAATTTCTTACCCACTCATTACAGAGAAACAGAACACACAAAAGAGGGAAAGGCAGGAATGATGGGCAGATATTTGTCACTGACTTCATCTTTCATATTCTAAGCTTAAAGCACTTTTTCATTTGCTGCTTTGCTGTGGAAAGATTGAAAACAAGTGAGACTTTGTTTACAAGTCCAATCATCTGGGAGGACAATTTATAGCAATTCAATCTTTTCCTGAAAATTCCTTAGAGTTTAAGCAAAGTTCAACTTACTTCAAATCTTTGATTTTACAATTCGGATTACACAGTGCTTGACAGAGCAAGTATAGCCGAGACACTGGCAAATTTCCCAGCTTGAGGGACCTAAAAGGGATAAACAAAACAAAACTTTAAGCAAAAGACTTATTTGAGCTTCTTTGTCCACACTAGTACTAATTTACTCCTTATAAAACCTAACAAGGTACGGTCCTAACTTAAATTAAGGCAAATATAATGTGCTCAAAGTCATAGAGATAGATAGGTACAGAACTGAAGTTACCACTCAGGTCTGACTCCAAGACCATGCAATTGTGTACCAGGCACCAAGGTAAGCATTGTTTCTTAATCCAATGACAAGTCTTGTAATCACCATTTTTCAGAAACTCTAAACAGGTCAAGCAACTTGCTCAAGCTATCTAACCAATAATTGATTATTGGGTAACAGTACTAAAAGAAGAATATAGTAATCAAAACCCAGGAAAGTTCAATAGTAACTTCTCAGATAATATGATTAGAAAAGGAATATTTTGTATTAAACTTAGGAAAACTATTTAAGCCTTCTGATAAAGGTAATAAAGGTTGATTGACTTTCTGGAAATCCAAAGTTATCCATAAATCCCTTTTGCTTTTATCAGTGTTTAAATTTATTAAATATATTAGTTCCTCTTTTACTTTACAATGTACAACTTGATTAAAATTGTCACTAATTCAAGTCCTTGTAGCTAAGGTTTTTTTATAATTCTGAGTCAATTTAAACTCTTATCCCCGTTCCCCTCTAGTTACAAGCATTACTCTTGCTGCACCTCCCTTTCCTTCATCCCAATTTCCCTCAAACACAGGTACTCCATGCTCACCTCTACTGCTAATCTATTGCCCACTGAGGAAATACAACTATAAAATATGAGACTTGGGTCAACACGCCCTTGAAGTACAGCCTTCTGCTCACTCTCTTCTCTAAGTCTCCTACCACTCAGTTGATCCCACAAGTAAGGGGAAAGACATTGTCCCTCTTAATTCACTAATAAGAAGAGACAATTATAAGCCCTCTTTTCTGCTGTCTTGTTTACTTTCTTGTTGCTGAAACAAAATACCTACCATGCACAAGTGAAAGGACAAAAAGCTTATTTTAGCTTACAGTTTGTACTGGCTTCAATCCATTGTTGGCTGGCTCCAAGGCAGGGCAGCAAGACAGAGTGGGCATGACAGAGAAAACAGTTCATACATGGCAGGCAAGAGGTAGTAGCTTTCCTTTTTCTTTCCCTTTTATTCCTTCCAGGCTACAAACCCATTGAATGGTGCCACTCACACCCAGGATAGGTCTTTCCTCTTCAGTAAATCCATTACCCACACTTAGAATTATGCTAAACCAATCAGTATCGCACACCCAAGATTTGGTCAACCCCAAAAGCCTCACCTATAAGTGCATGAGGCTTTAAGGAGATAGTTAAATATAAGTCATAACATTGCTTTAATCAGCAAGTCTGTAGAATTTTATTTTATAGTGTAGAGTCAATGTTCTAAAAGTGGTTTATTCTGTGTGTGAACAATGTTTTCCCAGGACTTTTTGTTAAAGAAGCTACCTTTTCTCTAGCATTTTTTTAGTCTCTTTGTCAAAGATCAGCTGGCTAAGAGGTGAATGAGGCTTTTTATATGTCTTCTATTCTGTTTCATTGGTTTCCATATCTATTTTTTGTGCCAGTATCATAATGTCTACTGGAAGATACAATATATAAAACTCTTGAAGATATGGACATTGGTAAGTACTTTCTGAACAGAACCCCAATTGCATAACACCAAGAATCAACAAATGGAATTATATCAAATTGTAAAGCTTTGCACAGCAAAAGAAATAGTCAACAGAGTGAACAAACAACCTACAGAATGGTAAAAACATTTTTCAGTTACTCCTTGGGCAAAAGACTAACATTTAGAAAATATACAAACTAAAAAATTAGACCTCCCCAAAATAGGAAGAATACACCAAAAATTGAACAGCTGAAATGAATAAATACTTCTCTAAAGAACAAATACAAATGGCCAATAAGTACATGAAAAAAATATTCACTGTCTTTGACTATTAGAGATATGAAAATCAAAACAACACAAAGATTATGTCTTACTTCATTCAGTAAGAAAAGCTAATATCAAGGACTCAAGAAACAAATACTGGAAAGGTTTAGAAGGGAAAGGAAATTTTCTAAATTGTTGGTGGGAATTTAAACTAGTAAAACCACTATGAAAATCAGTATGGAGATTCCTCAAAACACTAAAAATAGAAATTCAATTTAACCCAGCTATACTTTCCTTAGTATCTTCTCAGAAGAGTTGAAGTCATCATAATACAGTGATATATGCATACGTTTGTTTATAGAGGCACAATTCACAATGCTTAAATCATGGGAGCAACCTAGATGAAATGCATAAAGAAAACGGGGTATGTATGGACAATGAAGTAAATACCATTCAGCCATAAAGGAGAAATTTGATTCATCCTTCAGACACTGACAGGCGACTATGACTGCTTTTTACACAGAATAACATAGCCACATTGTCCATTTTGGTACAAGTAGGAAAATGGATGATTTTGAGATCATAATGCTAAGTGAACAGAACTGAACACAGGTTAAGTAGAGCATGGTTTGTCTTATATGAGAAACTCAAAATACAAATGATTCAAAGAGTAAAAAGGAGAGATCATAGCAAACATAAAGTAACCTTTATGAAGATGGGAAGGGGATCAGAGAACGGGGCAATGAGCAAAGATGGGAAGAGAGGAAGTAAAATGGTCAAGATTTAATGTGTATATGTATAGAGGTACCTTGGCTAATGAACAATTTGTTCTATGATTTTGAGAAAAATGTTTGTGTGAGAAAGATGGCTACAATGAAGTGGTCACTGATACAAAGTTCACAAACAAAAACAAATTTGTCAAATATTTTTTATTTGTGAACCAAAGTGTTTGCAAACAAAAGCAGTCATGAACCAAAGTACCATTATAATAATTCCCAAAAATAAGTGGAATTATTACATACTAATAAAAATAAGTTGATAAAATAAAATAAAAGTGGTTTACTGCTCTTTGACATTTATCTCTCTATCCTCTGTGAAGGTTTAGTGGACTTTACAAAAAGATACACTAGCTCTGCCCCCTACTAACCTAGAGCTCTTTGAGGCATCAGTGATGAAGTATGTGTGAAGAAGAATAACAATCAATCTAATAATAGGTTTGCAACATTTTCCAGAATGGCCATCTACACCAAATAGCAGAATCCTTAATTATAATATTGATGAAAAATGCTTATAACACTTTGTAATTATAAAGCATATCTACAGAATGACAGTGACTACTACTGCACAAGCACAAGTATGTATGTGCACAACAGATGCACGCACATACACACACACTCTTACAGTGACTAAGTGCAGTGCCTGGTATATAATAAGTGCTCAAAAATGTTAGTTTTCCTTCAGAATCTACCTAAGTCCGTGCTCAATGCATGTTAGATAATCAATAATTCCTTACTCTACTGATTTATATAATATATGAAAAACTGAGATGACTATTCACAATGCTAGAAATGATCATGTGCCTAAATACATAAATAAATAGGCCTATTATCTGTGAAAGCCAAAAATCCTAGAAGAAAGCATAAATATACTCACCGAGTAAATGTTAAGGCTGGTGGCATGAATGCTAAGGCTTGTACTTCTTCATCAAATCCAAGTAGATGCTGACACTTCAGAGACATTGACAGGTAACTAAAACTGCCTTTTACACAGAACGACATAGCCAAAAGGTCCATATTTGTATAGGTAGATTGAAGAAACATAATTGACTGTAAATTATCAATTATCCTTCTTGCAAATTCTTCTTCCTGCATCTCATACAAACAGTGAAACAAGTCCACTAACTCAATCTCTAGCCTAGAATACTTATCCTTTATTTCTCTCTCAGTCCATCTCAGTAACTCTTCCCTAAGTCCTGGAGACACTTTTCTTCCAAAAGTATTTTCCACAGTTTTTCCTTTTCCTTTATGTAAAAGGCCAAATAAGAATTGTATCATTAGTGACGAAAAACCTTTTCCATATTGGAATATTTTTTGCCATGGTTTCCCCTTGTGATCACCAAACAAACAGCTGTTCTCATTCTTCAGGGCATAGAACACAGCAGTCAAGAACTCTTGGAAACTGAAATGAAGAAAAGTGTAGATATTAACACCTCCTTCAGCTTTTTTCAAAAAGTGAGCAAGAAACAGGCCACTGATATCATAAGCTCCTATCCCATGTCTTCTGAGGTCACTGACAGTAAACAGAACCTGATGCTTCTGCAATCCCTCTGCAGCCAAAGAGCAAAGACCCCACAGGCAACTTTGTCCCTTCCACACTGAGATGCCTATAAGGCTTTTAAGGCACTTAGAAAAATAGAACAGATACATGTCAGTCATGGTCTGAAGAGACCTCAAAAGAGTCCTATCATCATCTACTTGTGATTGTAGGACACTACATAACATCCAGGAGACTAAAGGAAGAGAAGATACAATGTCACTGCCTTTACTTCCTTGCAAACTACAGAAGACTTCCATTGCTGCATTAGCTTCTAAAAACTGACTCAAGAAATATGCTTTTTTTTCAGCATCTGTAAACCATAGTATCTCTGCCTGGATAGGCTGTTTTAACAGAGAATGGAGCTTCTTCATTGCTGTAAGTCGAGCAGTTATCAAGAGAGAGGATTCAGGTAATAACTTCTTCCTCAAAAAACTGCATAAGAGTGTCTCTACTGGCTTCTTCTCCCAGGGATTAACACTAAAATCCTCTTCCTGATCACATATAGGATACTGCAGCTCAGGAAATCCATCAAAAATGAATAGAAGCTTCTCTGGATATCTAAAGATAATGTCCAGTTTTGGTCCACTTATATCCTGAAAAGTATCAGTGACCAGGTCAGCAGCACTAAGGTTAACAGTATGGCTTATTTCTCTGCAGTTGATGTAGATGAGATAGTCAAATCTGCCTGGAGTTACCATTCCTGCTGCCCAGTCAAACATAAACTTCTGTACCACAACTGTTTTCCCAGTCCCAGGACATCCCTGAAGCACCACAGTTCTAGATGAGGTGGAGCCTTCTTCATTAGGATCAAATACATGTTCCATGTCTATAAAATGATCTTGCTGAGGGATTCCATGTGGTGTCTTTTCTGATACACCATGCTCTTTTACAAGAAGCAGTCGTGATTTGATATGTTTGCACTGGTGGTAACATTTATCATCTCCAAATTTCAGATATTTTTCTCTTAGATGTTTCTTGTACAATTCTCTGTAATCTAAAGAGGCAACACCAAGAATTAATAATCATAGAATCCTAAACAACAATGCAAACAACTATGACTAATACCACCATCACCATCTCCACTTAGATGCCTCAAATTTTGCATATTTAAATCTGAGATTTTGGTTTGTACATCTCCTTTATTCTCCAAAACAATCCTCTACGGGAATCTCTAATCTCAGATAAACAGTGTCATCTAGTAGCTTAGGAAAATGTTAGGAGTCATCCTTTTTTGTCCTTTAAATTCTCTACATATCAGTCAATTACCAAGGGCTATCATTAATGTCTCAAAAGTAATTCTCAAATTCATTTATTTTTCAGTGTGTTCTCAAATATCACTTACGTCCAAGGCATTTAGACTTTCCTAGACTGCTGAAACAGCCTCCTTCTTGTCTACTCTTGTCCACCCATGCCCAACAGCCACTGTGAATTTCTACAAATACCAACTAGATCCTGAAAGAGTTTTTGGCGCAATAAAAAAGAGAATATAAAGTAAAAACAGCCTTTATTCCAAGGACATGAAGAGAAGTCCATGACCACCAGTGGCCTGGCTTTCTCTACCTGAACGTGGGGTATGGGATATACATATAACCTCTGACCATGGATGATGCTTATGGAGGGCATTGATGAGGCACGAGGAGCTGATTGGAATTTTCTTCACCCACAAACAGGAGGGAAGTTGCAATTAAGGCTGAGGAAGAAGCAGGAAGTGATAGGCGTTCCTGCTTTGGCCTTCCACTACGTTAGATCACCGCTGTAACTGTACAGTAATTTATTCTAGTGCGAGAACCTTTCAGATCCTACCATCACTGTGTCCAAAATCCTTCAAGAGCTTTTCATTGCATTTGGTACAAAATTCACAATCCTTACCTCATCCTACAGGGTATTCTATGATCTGTTCCTACCTACCCGGTACTCCAGCTTCATTTTGTATCTTCTCCTCACTTCTTCCACTAAGGCCACAATGACCTAGTCTCAGTTTCTCAATAGCTCAATATTCTTTCCTAATTCTGAGCCTTTGCACTAGCTATACTCTCTACCTGGAACATTCTTCCTTCTGCTTTTTCCATGGAGAGCTTCTTCTCATCCTTCTATCTCATCCTATTATTTCCTAGAAGAGGATTTTGCCCAAATATGTAATTAAAACAAATCCTATTATTCCTCTTTCCAGCACCCTATTTTTCACTTTATAGAACTTATTACAACTTATAGCTATCATATTGATTTATTTGGGGGGCACTGGAACTGAATTTAAGACCTTGCTGCAACACTGACCTATATCCCCAATCTGTTTATTTTTTGCTTGTCTTTTCCACTAAAAAATATATGACAGCAGAGAGATAATCTCTTATTTTTCAGCACAGCACCCTAAGTACCTAACATGGTGCCCAGTACATCATAGGTACTTAGTAAATATTTACTGAATATGGCTATAAATGCTTCTGAAATAAAGACAAGTCATTCATTATTGCATATTCCATTGTAGATAATGTCACAGGAGTCTTTTATATATATACTTACAGTTTTTCATAATAATCCCATGAGATAAGTATTCTTCCGTGTGACAATTGAGGAAATTCAAACATATAATCAAGCTAGCTTCATGAATATGTTATCTGTATAGTCATACAGCTCTCCATGCATTGACGGTTTAATGCTCTGTTTTGTTATGAAACTCTTAATATTTGAACAAGTGGCACTGTACTTTTATTTTGTAATAAACCTTGCAAATTATAAATCCAGTCCTGCCATAGCATTTGGTAACACATCCAATTCTAGTAAATGGGAGAACTTTAATTTACATTCAAGTTCATCTGAGATCTATATGCTTAAATACTATAATGCACTAAGTACATTATAGTATTTCACCTGCAACTAGAAAAAAATAAGTCAAAAATCAGTCATGAGTTTAAACTTCTGTTAAATGAATATCTAAGCCAGAATTTCCAGAGTCAGTATTCCTTGAAACACTGTTCTATAAGACATTAATAAGAGAACTATAAAAAAAAAGGTGCTCTCTGGTCAAATAAATCAAGGATCAAGGAGAATGCAACACTTATGGCCTTGGAGTTTCTCAATGCATATTGCCATATGAAAGGCTTCTTTACTTTTCTACAATAAAAAATAGAGTATTTAATTTTGTTTAATACAATATTTTCTGCTCTTAAATTACTACACCCTTTCTAACATGAAAGTTATTGAATGCTGGAAAGCAATGATTGATAAAGTTCAGTTCAAGGAATGCTGAACTGGGTAAGAGTTAGCAAACATTTCTGTAAAAATTCATACGCAGATTGGGCTTTTAAGATTCTGTTCCAATTATTCAACTTGGTGATCTTTGCATGACAGCAGCCATAGGTAGTATGTAAATGAATAGTTACTTTTCAGTAAAACTTTAACCCTAAGAATAGGCAACAGACTGGATTTGGCCCACTAGTTACAATTTTAGATAACTCTAAAAAAGCTAGGTGCCAAGACATATGCCTATAATCTCAGCTACTTAGGGCACTGAGGCAGGAGTATTGCAAATTCTAGGCTAGCTTGGGTAATTGAGAGAGACCTTGTCTCAAAATAAAAAAATGAATAGGGCTGGGGATGTAGCTCAGCGGTAGAGCACCACTGGGTTTGATCCCTTGCAGCAACCCCAACCTCCATAAATAGACAGCTAGTCTCTTCTAGCCGTACAAGTCTGCTAAATACCATTAGCGATACTTCCAGTGTTTGCATATCTATTTGAATATATTACTTATGATTCAGAAGCCCTATTTGGTAAGACAGTTCGGAGCACTGTAGATATTGCCAAAATAATCAGTAATTGTTAAGCTGGAGATAACAGAGCTTGCCTATAGCTCCAACTACTTGAGAAGCTAAGGCAGGAGGACTAGCCTGAACAACTCAGTGAGACCCAGTCTCAAAATTTTACAAATTGTTAAAAGGGTTGGAGTTACAGTTCAGTACTCCTTATGTTCAATCTCCAGAACCACACACACACACACACACACACACACACACACACACACACCAATAATTGTTGCTCCAATGAATAAAGGGGGAAGACAGGAATGAAAAGCTGAGTTTATGGGAGGCACTAATCCCAAAACAGGAAAAGGATAAAATCCAAACGACATCTACCTATAAGCTCTTTCCACAAAAATGAAGCCAGAGAATGTTAAACAGTTCTGAGATTGGATAGGCTAATTGGATGAGGAGTAGCACAAATATAGCTTTACACCAAAATGTGAAACGATACAATAATTTACCTACAATGCTATAGCCATTCATGCAATTCCTCAAACACAAATACAACAAAGAAAGTAAGTCATCTCACATCTTGGCTAACTTGTCCAAAAAGGTACTTTATAGCTAAAATCCTACATAACCTAAAATTTAAGAACTTTCCTTACATGTATATTTAGGGTATAGATGTTTTAATTTATTGTTAATAAGGAAAACTTATGCATGAACATAAAGATGTGTAAAATAACTGAAGTGAGTATTTTTTATGTTTTGATTTCCACTGAACATTAGCCTGTTCTTCTACTGAAGATTCTTTTGAGCCTAACTTGGTAATGGGAAAGAGTAAGGCATTGTTGAATATTAGTTCAACAGATACATATAATGAACTACTTTAAACACATATATTCACACTCAGTCTAAACACTTGTACATATAGATAAATAAGAATATACAAAAACACACACAGCTCTACATTCTTAGTGGATTTTGCTTTGTTTTATGTTTGTTTTGTGGTACTAGGATCTGAATTTAGGACCTTTGGAGCGAGCTACATTCCCCAGCCCTTTGTTTTATTTTTTATTTTCAGTCAAGATCTTACTAAATAGTTAAGTTTCCCAGGCTGTGCTCAAAATCACGATGCTCCTGCTTCAGCACTATAGAGTGTTGGGATTACAAGTATGCACCACCACACCTCACTCATTCCTAGTTTTTTTGCTACTAGCACATCTTTAAAAACATGAGACTTATAGTTGGGGAGAAGTAATCTGATAGGTGGTAAAGATGAGTGGAAGGAAATAGTGTCTGGAGAGTCAGACATTAGAATATCACAGAAATGAGCAAGATACTGTTCTCCGTAGCTAAACATTCCTTGGAGTTAAGGAATCAGCTACTGGGAAAAGGATTCCAACAAACTTATTTTTTTGCTCTTTTGTGCAAGCTCCTGTAAAAATGCTATGGTTACAACAAAGGGAGAGACATAAGAATCTTTTTTTGGCAGAACTAGCAACTAGACCCAGCGCCTTTGCACTAGCTGTACCTCTGGCTCCCCATTCCCCTTTATTTTTTTGGTACTGGGGATCATACTCACAACCTCACACTTACTAGGCAGGCATTGTGCTGTTGAGCTATGTCCCCGGCAGGGGTCCCTCCTTTTATAATTTTGACACAGGGTCTTTCTGAGTTGCCCAGGCTGTGCATGAACTTCTGATCCTCTGCCTCAGTCTCCTAGAGTGCTGAGATTAATGGCATGTGCCACCACACCAAGCAGAGCCTTTTAAAGGTACAATATTCTGAAGATTATGAAAACAACAGGAGTCACAGTTGCCACTTCACCTTTCTGTCTTTTTCCTCATTTGGGGGAGTATATTTCAAGAGATTATTAATAGGCAAATATTGCATTCACATAATATCACAGTATACATACATACATACATATATACATATAAACAAAAATGTAAAGATTGAACAGTAAGAAAAAGAGAATGAACATGCTTATACAAGTTATGCCCTCTTTATTCAATTACTCACCTTTCTCTGTCGGCAGTAAACTCCAGGTACAAGCAGGTTCCCTATCTTTTCTTTCCTTCTTACTAGTCATCCTAAAAAAAAATTTTAAAAGACTATAATCCAGAACAGAAATAATGGCTATAATACCTCTCCAAGACATATTTTGAACCCCTTAGGAAAAGGAAATTCTATGACTATATATTGGAATATTGTAATGTAAGATAAACAATGACAGGAAATGTGCATCCTAGATCCATTTCTGTCTACCTATGGACTTGAGTAAATTTCTTCTTTTTTTAGATCTGTTTTATTATTTAAAAATGGCTAAGGCAATGCTAGATCAGGTTTCTTTCTAGGTTGAACACTGTAAAAACTCTGATTCTTAGTTCTAGGTCAACATACTGCCCTCTAGAATTTATTTTGTTATTGGCAATATGATTTATCATTTTCTAATATATTGGGTAGTTTACTGATGTATTATGCTTATCATTCTTTGTCAGTCTAAATTGACTTATTGGGCCCATCTCAGCTTTTGGCATGAATGTTACAATCACAAACACACACACACACACACACACACACTCAAAAAAAGAGTTTATTTTCCAAATTCTAGTATTTAGCTCAGCCTCAAGACTTCCTCTGGCTAACAGAACATATCCCGAATTGGACATGTCCTTCCTATCAGTCTATCACTGTGATGAAAGGAACCACAAGAGAAACAAGCCCCTGCGATTCCACTGGTCCAAGGAGGATGAGAGATAAGTGAAGTATAGCCACCCTGGTTTATCCATAGTCCTGCAACAAAAAGTGGAGAGTCATTTCAGTCTGAATGAGAATTGCCTAACAGAGTGCTCCTAATCAGCTGGTCTCTAGATCTGTGATAGTAACTGCTTAGTAAGTGCTTAATGGCACAAGAATTTTGCAACTGCTGTTACATATGGCACTGTAATGATAGCTAACTGATACATCTTACTAGAATATATGTTTAGAAAGTGTTATTTATTGATTAAATTAAATGAATAGAAACTTTTAAAAATAATCTGTTTGAAAAAGACCTATCTACCATAATTTGTTCTTTATTTATACTTTGGGTTTGCCACGCAAGAGAAACTATGTGATATTTAAACTTTTGCAGGGTGGAAAAAACAGAATTGAATAAAAAATAGAAATAAGGCTTTTTCAAAAGGGATGGGGATCAAGAGTTAGAGAGAGCAGGGAGGGATGGAAGGGAAAGGAGATGGAAAAATAAATAGGATTGATTATGTACATGCAAAATCTCCCCCACAATAAATATGATCATTGTGTACTACAGAGATATACCAGTAAAAAATAATAATCCAGTGACTTGATACACATTCCAGATAAATCAAATCAGTATCTTTGATGAGGCTTGGCACTGATTTTTTTAAAAGCTCCCACGCGATCCTAATATGCAGCCATGGAAGAGAGGCAGTGTTCTAAAGTTTAGTTATCTTTGATAGAAGAACAGAGTGCATTAGTAAAGCACATGGGCTTTTTAAAAAATTTTTTAAAATTTTTTATCGGTACCAGGGATCGAACTCATGACCATCACTTGTAAGGCAGGCACTTAAGCCACTGAGCTAAATCCCCAACCCCAGCACATGGGCTTTAAAAGCAAGAAAAATATTCAAGTCCTAACTCTATCTTTCATGATATGACTGCCATGGAATTAACATCTCTAAGCCTCAGATTCATTATTTATTAAGCATGAATAACACCAGTACTTTCTTTATAAGGTTGTTATGAGGACTGAATGAGATAAGGCATACAAAATGCTCAGCACACTATGTGGTGCGCTGTAAAGGCTTAATAATTCTAAACTGTAGCAATGTTTGCACTGTTATATCATTTTATATGGAGTAAATATGTCTTAACTCAGACATTTGAGTCCCGTTTCCATTCTTTCTCTCAATATGACCTTGAGAAAAATTAACAGACACTCTTGTAACCCACATGTAAACTACAGTTAATAATATCTACTGGTTGGGAGTATAGCTCAGTAGTAGAGCATTTGCCTCACATGCACAAAACGCTGGATTCTATCCCCAACACTACACACACACACACACACACACACACACACACGGGGCGAGGAGACTGTGTATCGTTCATTTGTTGTGAGGAATGAATATGATGACAATCATAAAACACTTAGCACAGGGCCAGGTGCAGTATAAATGATAAATGTTAGATTAAAAAGGATATATAATTTATTTTATTTATGTCAGAAAGTTACATTTCATTAAAATCTACATATAGCAATTCTACTGTTATGAAATGGAATGTTCCCAGCACAGTGGTATAGTCACATATCTTGGATTCTTTTTCCAATTTCTGAAAATAACATTTCTTCCCCCAAATAGGAGCAATCCTCTATCTACAAATTACCTGCCCTCTTACCTGAAAGTGTATGTGCCTTAGGAGACTACTGAAGCTGGAGAGGTGTGTGGCCTCTCATTCTCTTCCTCACCAATTTAAATGTTGTCTATTATTTCAGTTATCCTTATTATTCTTGTTTATCCCAGATCTTTCCTCTGAGATCCTGATGTATACACTTAAAGGCTTAAACTTGGCATGGTGGTACATATCTGTAATCCTAGCGATCAGCAGGCTAAGACAGGAAGATTGCAAGTTTCAGGTCAGCCTAATCCTCATAGCAAATTTAAGGCCAGCCTAGGTTACACAGAGAGAGTTTGTCTCAACAAGCAAACAAAGCTAAGTAAATAAAGGCTTTCTCAACATCTCTACTTGGAAATTAGTATCTTTGTGTTTTTACCTCTTTTGGTTGCTACTGTTTGATTTGTTCAACATTCTTTTACTGATATTGCTCTAATATGAGATCTCAATCTGTTTTTAGAATAATCAATTCTCCATCCTTGAATTTTAAAACCTGATTAAAGACTAAGTACTAAAGTTACGCTATCAAAACGCCTCAAGTTCATTATTCCTTGACCTTAATGGAGGCCTTTCCAAGCATTTCAGTTTGAATTTGAGCAACCCTACTGTATTCTTTCAATCATCTAATTTTGCTTAAATTATGCAAAATCAATTTCTGCTGCCTGTAGTTTAAAACTTTTGCTACAACAGTCATATCTCAGAGTAAATTAAACTCAAAAGTTTTTGGGAAATTATGGAGCAGGCATTTTATAACTGGTTATTAGTCCCAGTCAGGGTAAATGCTGTGAGATAGTCTGAATTCCAGGGCAGGGTAAAAATACAGTCCCCCATTGCAGTAGGATTTCCACTAGAACACATGGAATCTTTACACACAGTACTAAAAAGTACTTTCTTCAAGAAGACAAATCAGACTAAAATATCCCTTCTGGGCAGCTGAACTAGAAAATGAAAAAATGGTACTTTCCTCTGAGAAAAAGACAGCACCAAGTTAGCAGAGTATGGCCTAATTTCAGTCCCCATTTCACATTCTGGGCATATTACTTTTAAGTCTACAACCTGTACAACTTTACATGGTGACTCAACATGGCATGCATGATGCAAAAAACGTGGGAAGGAAATGTTACATTTTTTCCAATTTTACTGAGGTATAAAGGAGAAACAAAATGTGTATATTTAATTTATACAACATGATAATTTGATATGCACACACATATACTGTCAAATGATTACTACAACCAAGCTAATACATTAGTCACTTCACAGTTATTTTTTATATGTGGTAAGAATATTGAAGATCTACCTTCTTAGCTAATTTCAAGCATACAATATAGTATTAACTATAGCCATCCTGCAGCACATAAGATGACTAAAGTTTATACTTCTTATAAATGAAACTTTGCATTCTTTGACCAACACTTTGACCAACTGTCAACTCCTGGTAACCACCATTCCATTCTCTCTTACTTATTTGATCTTTTTGGCAGGGGAGGGGGATTCCTCGTATAAGTGAGATTATATAGTGTGTCTGGTTTATTTCATTTAACATATCCTTCAGATTCATCCATGTTGGTGGAAATGGCAAAATTTCTGCCTTTCTAGATAAATAATATTCTATTACATACCACATTCCTTTTATTCATCCAACAGACACTGGGTTATTTCTACATCTGTCTATCATGAATATTGTAATGAACATGATAATACAGACATCTCTTCAAAATACTGATTTCATTTCCTTTGAATACATACCTAGAAATAAGAATGCTAGATCATATGGTAGATATACAGTAAATATTCTGAGAAAGTTCCATATTGTTTTCTGCAATGGCCATACCAATTATAATTCCAGGCACAGTGTAAAAGGGTTCTTTATGTATTGTCTCTCATCAACACTTGTTATCTTTTCTCTTTTTGAAAACAACCATCCTAAAAGGTTATGTCATTGTGTTTTTTTAATTTACATTTGTCTGCTGATCAGTGATACCAAACATCATTTCTATATACCTGTTTGGTCATTTGTATGTCTTCTTTGGGAAAAGGTCCATTCAGGTTCTTTGCTGTTTTTTAATTGTGTTCTTTATTTTTTGCAATTAAAATTAAAACAGAAAACTTATCTCCAGTCTTAAAGAGACTTTTTAAAGTTGAGACATAATTCACATAGCATAAAAATTCACCCTTTTCAACTACACAATTCAATGTTTCATAGTACACATACAAACTTTTACTACTAATTCCAGAACATTTCTATCAGCACAAAAATACTTCATTAGATAGACACTCCCTATTTGTCCTCTCCTCTTAGTGCCTGGCAACTATTCAACTTCCTATTTCTTTTTCTTTTCTTTTCTCTCTCTCTCTCTCTCTCTCTCTCTCTCTCTCTCTCTCTCTCTCTTTTTTGTCTTTTTGATACAGTGTCTCGGCTATGCAGTTCAGGCTGGTCTTCATAACCCAGGCTGGTCTCCAACTTGCAAATGATTTTCCTGCCTCAGCCTCCCGAGTGCTGGGATTACAGGAGTACACCACCACACCGGGCTCAACTTCTTATTTCTAAAGATTAGTCTACTTCAGACATTTCATTTAAATGAAATCAAACAATATGTGGCTTTTTGTGTCTGGCTTTTTTCGCTTGCCATAAAAGTTCTTACATGTTATAGCAGGTAGCTATACTTTATTC